TTTTTTTATAAAATTAAATAGTAATTTCGAGAACCTATTTGGAGATGGATGTTGAATCTTAACCTATTATTTTTGGGCTACAACTTTGTAAAGTTAAATATAGGCAACTTAATTATAATGTATGTGTATGAGTTATATTTATGTGTAATTTTCCCTTTTTTAATCATGAACCAGTGAAAAACCCAGGACCAACCGAGACTAGGTTGAATATTCCATTGCATTTGTGAAGTAGTAGTAGTAGTAGTGTAGTACTATCATAATTTGTGGATACACCTAGTTTTTATCTTCGCATTTTTTTTTTCCTTGTATGTAATTTGGTAAGGAAAAGATGATATTTGTTTTTAACTGATCCGGTGAATCAGACTAGACAGAAACATGGCACTGAAAATGGCATATCAATAGATTATTTACTACTCCATAAATTCCTGTATGTATAATTGGACAGACAGATTACAGCTCTATGGGTTGAGCCTCCATCTAGGGAAACTAGAGGAATCACTGCTTAACTGAATTACCGTTAGTCTTTTATTAATAAGAAAAGAGAACCAAAATTTTACCTCGGGGTAGTTTTTACTTTTCTGAAAAATTGAGTAACTTTTCTCCTCTATGTGTTTGTTGCTTTTCCCTTGGAAATGATTTGATGAATATCTATAGAAGGAATTGTTTAACCAAAAAATAGATTTCTTGGCAAAGCGTGAATTTAGAAGAATCGGGTTACTGATAATCGAGAAAAGAATGTAATACAGAGATTTGAAAATAATATCAGCAGAAAGCAAGAAGATTAAGATATATTCCAATAGTCACCCCCTTTAACTGATTACATATTCCTCCTTTTATAGGTACCTTTGAGAACTTCTAGGAACGTACGTTATGCCTAAGTCGTAATGAGGCTATTACGGGCATTTAATGATATTAAATGCTGCGTTACATAATCATTGCGTATATTCCTTAACGGCTTTAATAGTTAATGCCGTAGTTCCCCTTTTTCTTTAACCAGGTTCATTCTTCTCTTTGTCCGTGTGTAAATAAGCTTGAATAGGAGCGGGTCAATTTAAACAGGAATGGGGCGTTGAATCTCTGGTCTCGTGCCTCTTTCTTCCCGTAGCTGTTCACAACCCTTGAACCGTGACTGTTCATAATTTACTCACCATTCCACGTGTCATGCCACGTTAACATGTATATGAATACAATTTTCTCTAATACAGATAGTCCCCCCACTTTCCATTTATTCATCAGTTTGAATATTTGGGAAGTGGAGTTTCATAAAAGGAAAATTTTTGTCACCATTAATGCTTTGACAAAGTTGACGCTTCAACTGTCACTTCCTTTTAATGAGACTGACACGTGTCATCTCTCTATTGGTTGCAATCTTAGCGGTACTTTTTTAGGCTTTCTCTTCGGCTTCACTTTTCACGAAATGTCAGTTATCATCATTGTGGCTCTTTCATCATTGCACTTTTTTCCTTTGCCGGTTACCCATTAGTATAAATACAACATCCCTTCTTGTCTTGTTCCACATAAAGCATATCAAACACTTTAATTTTTTGAAATCTTCTCCTTTTCTCTACTTCACTTCAACCTTCTTTGCCATGGCTTCCTCTAACCCTAAGAGAACCCCTATTCTGGATAGCTTTCCCAATGCTCCTATTAGGCATATGAGAGGGGGCAGACTCCGTATCCTTGGATCTACTCGTGGTAACATGTCGACTCCTTCTTCTAGTTCTGGTCCCTCTTCTGGGGCCAGGGGTTCACATTTTCAAAGGACTTCTTCCCGTAACAAGGAATCTTCCGAGCCACTTCGCGAGCCTTTAGTTGAGGAAATAGTTCCCTTTGAAATTTCCTTTCACCATGATAGAGAGTCCCTTAAGACTCATATTGAATCTTTAGATCGTGCTGACCCCTTTCCTACTCACATCATAGAGGTTTTAGCCCCCATAGTGCGTAAGGACTGTCATTGGAGTGATGATTTTCCAATTATTGTTCCTAACCCAAGTCAAAGGATTACATCATACTTAATAGGATACTCTTTTGTTTACACATACCCCTTTACTCTAGGATTTAAACCGGCCATTGATCTAGTCATTCTGGACTTCTGCTGCTTTTTCGATGTGTGTTTGGGCCAAATTGGTCCGATTGTATGGAGAGCTATTGCTTGCCTGCGGCATCTTGCCAATATGGCAGATGTTGAATTCACTTTTCCTCACTTGATTCACCTTTATTCACCTAGGCTTTTTCGAAATGGCATGTTTGGTTTAGCAGCTAGGAGTAAGAGGGTTCTAGTTAGCCCCGAGGATGATAAAGATCGTGGCTAGTATGCCCGATATGTTGCTACTCCCACTGTTGGTTTAGTGGGTGAAAAGAACGTACGTTTTCCAGAAAAGTGGAATTTTGCACGTGAGTACTAAATTTTTCTCGTGCCTTTTTATTTTCAGGCTTGTTTATCTTTCTTAATCTCGTCCTTTTTTTCTTCAGCAACCATGGGTGTTGTGGAACCTGTACCCAACTTCCGTGGTTGGTAGATAAGTTACTGAAGGTTGCCCTAATGGAGGGTAGATCATGGAAAAATCTCTCCAACCGTTACGGCTGGAAAGTTAAAACTCATGGTAAGGATTTCGACTTTCGCCTTATCTATGTTAAAATATTTTTGGCGTTCTAACATTTACCCTTCTTTTCACCAGGTTTTGCCATTCGAGGAGTTACCCCGGAGGCCATCTTGGCATCTCGTGATTCTTTAAGTGCTCGCCCCTCTTCGGATCAGGATATACTCGTAAGATCTGTAAAGAGAAAATCTGCTAAAGACGATGAATCTGAGGAAGAAGACGAGGGTTCTCTAGTGTCAAGGCCGCGAACTAGGAGACGTATCGTCTCTGAAGATGAGGCTGATGTCTCTCCTCGCCTGTCTCTCTCCGAACCTGTCATTACTCCGGTGATCATCCCTGATGATGATGTTTCCCCTTCTCCTAACACTCATGAATCCATAAACCAGCTTTTTGACAGTGGTTTCGGTAGTGGGTCCTTAGGACCTGTTTTAAATGAACCTCCCTTGTCTTCTTTTACTTCTTCAGTTCCTGTGATTGCACCCTTGCCTTCTTCAACTATTACTTCCGTACCTTCTTCCATTATTTTTACTCCTTCCATTGCTCATCCTTCAACAATTTCTCCCCCTACTGTCCACCGTACAGAGGCAGAGACTTCGAGCAAAGGTTTTGCCATGAGAAGCGTGACTCTTGAGGTCCCTGCCAATAACAGTCTTTTAAGAAAGTCTGGGCAAGCTGACACTTGGCTCAAACCTTTGATTGGCCCTATTGAGAAGGACAAGCTTGAAAGTCACACTAATATGACCCTCATGAATGATATTGTTCATGCGACTTTGAAGGTATTTTCTTGCCTTGTTTTCTTTAGTCTTTTGATTTCTGAAATCCTAACCTTTCCTCCTTTTCTTTTTGTTTGTGTAGGCCAACCTTATTGGAACTGAACTAATGTCCAGAGTCTCTCTTTTGGAAAAATTGGCTCGTGACTTGGAGAAGGCAGCTCATGATGCTGAGGAAGCTGCCCGAGGTTCTCAATTGGAAGCGAATAATTGGAAGGGCCAGTTTGAAAGTGTTCAAATTGATATGGAGAACTTGGAGGAGAGGAAAAATACCTTGGAAAGGCAAGTTCAAACATTGACCTCCGAGCTAGCAAGAATTAAGGCTACTTCAAGCCAAGCTGAAATGGAAAAGGAACGCCTTGAATCCTCTTTCTCAGAACAATTTTCCAAGATCAACGAAGAAAACCAAACTCTAAAGACTTTGCTGGCTCAGGAAGAGATGCATGCAGGGGAGCTGGCTCAAAAACTTTCACAGGTTCAGGAGGAACTACGAACTTCTGCAAACAAGGTTCATGCCTTAGAGAGTTCTCATGCCATTCTTCAATCATCTTTCAGTTCCGTTTCAACCAAAAACGAGGAACTTAAGAATGAAGTGGCTGCTTGGGAGAAAGATTATGAACTTCTCGAAGAGTCTACCAATGTTGAGGTAAGTTGGACCTTCTTAAAGTCTCGTCGTGATACCTTGGTTGAGATGAGTCAAGAAAATTTCAACCTGGAATCTGAATTAGCCAAGGTAAATGAAGCCATTGAACGAGCACAACAACCGCACGATTTCATCCCCCGAGGTTGAAGCTCCCATGACTAAAACTCCTTTGGCTGCGACCTCCACAGTTGAAATTCCAGCGACTGTTGAAATTGCTACGAGTGTCACTCCTTCCTCGAGTTCCTTCGTTCTTCCTGCTGTTTGTCAAACCAAGACTCTACCCGTTGATGCTCCTACTGCTATGCTTGAAGCTCAACCTTCAGTTGTCGATGGTGCTGCTCCAGTTGAGCCTGCTGATGAACTCTCTTCAGTTCCTTCTTTTTAGAAGAAATTTTATAACTGTTTTAAATTTCCTTGTTGCAGGTGCCAATCTGGAAAACTATGTTTAAGATTTTTAGTTTCTTGTGATAGCTTTTTGTAATCAGACCCCTAGGTTTAAGGTACAAGTCCCCAAGTTATGTTAAGGGGCGTTTATATGAACAGTTTGATGACTAAGTTTATGCTTAGTCTTTAGTTTTAAAATATTGAGAAGTTGTCTTTAACCTTCCACTTATTCTATTCATTCCTTTTTATTTCCAAGGACTTAAAGAATAGATTGCATTTTTATTCTTTGGAAAATGCTTGCGGGATAGGCTAATCACCAGACTGCTCTGGAATAGGTTAATCGCTGGAGACAAGAACGAGTGAATCTAGTTTCGAGAGCATGCCTTACTCTAATAGGGGGCGTAGAGTTTCTAAGTGAAGGCAAGCGNTTGCTATTCATCTTCACCCTTATCGATTGAATTTACAACGGAATTGATGCTCCTTGATGACTGTTGATCGCCTCTGATTTGACATATTCCCCAAGGTGATGGAAATTTAATAACTTGATGTAACGTTGATGGAACAACATCCATGTCGTGGATCCATAGCCTCCCCAGAATTATGTTATAAGCTATTTCCATATCTACGACTTGAAATCTGGTATCCTTCACAACGTTCTGTAAATGTAGTTAGGACTGCTTCTCCTTTTGTGACGACACTAGAATTGTCGAATCCCGACAAAGTATGCGCTTTTGGGATTAATTTATCCTCAGCTTGCATTTCACGCAATACCCGTATCAAAATAATATTCACAGAACTACCTGAATCAATCAAAACTCGTTTCCCATTAGTATCACATACAAGTAAAGATATTACCAGTGCGTCGTTATGTGGAGCTAAGAGACCCTCAGCATCTGTGTTGTTGAATGTAATATTCTCTTCTTCTAGCTCATGTCGTAACCGCTTCCCATGAGTGACTGATATCTTGGAAGTTTTATTAGCTGCGGTATATGAAACACCATTGATATTTTCTCCCCCACTTATAACATTGACGGTTCTTTTTGGCGAGGGTGGTTTTGAAGGCTCCTGTCTGTTCTTCATATATGCTTGTTTACCTTTCTCACTAAGTAACTCAGTGAGATAGCCTTGCTTTAACGAATGATCAACCTCACCTCGCAAAAATCTGCAATCTGCAATTTTATGCCCGTGGTCGTTGTGAAATTCGCACCAATGATATGGGTTTCGTCTGCTTGGGTTTGACCTCATCTCCTTGGGCCATCGTACCTTATCTCCCATACTCCTTAAAACAGCAACGAGTTCAGAGGTAGTTACGTTAAAATTGTAACCACCAAACCTTGCTTTTAAAGTTCCTTCATTGTCACGTGGTCCACGCGAGTTCCGATCATCTCCAAACCTTGATGAGGAACCTGCTTCCCTGCTTCTAGATTTGTGATCGTACCTTTGGTTATCTTGCCTTGACCGTAGGTCCTTCCCAACAGGTCCCATATAATGCTCGTACCTGTTCTTACCAGATCTTCTTTCATTATCAACTCACCTTGAACTCACTTTTTCTTCTGTTTTATGTCGGAAAATGATATCTTCTTCAATCCTCATCTTTGTACTGTATCTATTGTAGACATCATTCCATGTTATTGCTGGGAATTCACGAAGGCTTTCTTTGAGTCGCCTCGTGGCTTCTGAACTCTTCTCATTCAAATTGCTGGCGAAAGCTATGGCTGCCCAATTGTCAGGCACTCGTGGCAGCGTCATTCTTTCCCGTTGAAATCTATCTACGAATTCTCTAAGCAATTCTGAATCACCTTGTTTGATTTTGAAGATGTCTTCCATTCTTTTTTTAACTTTTTGAGCTCCCGAATGTGCTTTAATAAATAAATCTGGGTCTCCCTCCTGTGTTTCACTAGGAGTTCCACCACTGCCTGAATTAACTAATCCGGAATGAGGGTTTTCCAAAGTATTGTTGTTTCGAATAGGTGTAGATGGAGCGGCATGTAATTGGCTAACAAAAGCCTGAAGAGCTTTATTGACTTGCGAGGCAATAAGTTTTTGTAAGGCATCATTCATAGTCTATTCGTTCACAAATTGACCACGTTCTTCTGTGTGTGACCCATCAGGGGTACCCTCACGAGATTGACGCGGAGAACCATGAGAAGTTAGAACTTGATTATCATTATTTTGAGGATCTCCCTGATTTTGCTGATGGGTCTGATTTCCTTGAGTGTTGTCGTTGTTGTTCGACATAATTGATGCGACATAGAAAATTAAGGTGAAATATGATTGATTATCAGATTCCCGGTAACGGAACCAATTTGTTTAACCAAAAAATAGATTTCTTGGCAAAGCGTGAATTTAGAAGAATCGGGTTACTGATAATCGAGAAAAGAATGTAAATACAGAGATTTGAAAATAATATCAGTAGAAAGCAAGAAGATTAAGATATATTCCAATAGTCACCCCCTTTAACTGATTACATATTCCTCTTTTTATAGGTACCTTTGAGAACTTCTAGGAACGTACGTTATGCCTAAGTCGTAATGAGGCTATTACGGGCATTTAATGATATTAAATGCTGCGTTACGTAATCATTGCATATATTCCGTAACTGCTTTAATATTTAATGCCATATTTCCCTTTTTTCTTTAACCAGGTTCATTCTTCTCTTTGTCCGTGTGTAAATAAGCTTGAATAGGAGCGGGTCAATTTAAACAGGAACGGGGCGTTGAATCTCTCGTCTCGTGCCTCTTTCTTCCCGTAGCTGTTCACAACCCTTGAACCGTGACTGTTCACAATTTATTAACCATTCTACGTGTCATGCCACGTTAACATGTATATGAATACAATTTTTCCCAATACAGGAATTAGTCGGCAACCATGCGAAAAGTGGATATTTAAGTTTGTGGTGGTGGTTTAATTAGAGTTCACCCTACTATTTGGCTTCACTGTTTTCATGTCACATTAGATGGAAAAGGACTACTTTTGAGGACGCTTTATATATGCACCCAGGTTATGTGTTAGGATTTAAAGCTCCTATTAACAACCATGGAAATAATGGTCGAAGCTAACATAAAGGAAGAATTTAGAAGGAGAAAATGAGAGAAGAAGAGAACCAACTCACTTCATTTCTTCAAAACTGTATTCTGTACAATATCCTACAGTATTTAATAAACTAATTGTCTCTAACACTAACCGACTTTTACTAACTAACTCTAGTTAATATTATACTTAAGCTTAACTGTAGTTAACTATCAGCTTGTCACATAGCTGTTCGCCTACACCCCCTCTGAAGCTGATGATTCAAACAAGTTCTTCAGTCTCATTTTGTTCAGCAAGTATTCATGTTGAGCTTTTCCCAGACCCTTTGTGAGTAGGTCTGCTAGTTGATCTTCTGTATTCACATACTCAGCTCTCAGCAATCCTTGACTTAGCTTTTTCCTCACAAAATGACAATCTATGTCAATATATTTTGTTCTCTCATGAAATATTGGATTGGTAGCTATTTGGATTGCTTCTTTGCTATCACATATTAGAGTTATAGGGAGCTCAATCTTGACCTCTAGCTCACTGAATAGCCATGTTAACCATGTAACCTCTGTTGCACAAGATGCCATACTTCTAAACTCTGCTTCTACTGAACTTCTAGAGATAGTACTTTGCTTCTTAGACTTCCAGGGTATTAACGCATTGCCAAATTTTATTGAGTACCCTATAACTGATCTCCTTGTTTGTATGCATGCGCCCCAGTCTGAATTACAGCAAGCAATCAGCTTATTTGATGATTCTGTAGGCATCAACGGTCCCAAACCTGGTGCCTCCTTTATGTACCTTACCACTCTTAGTGTTGCCTCCATGTGAGAGTTCTTAGGAAGCGCATGAACTGACTAAGGACCTGAACCACAAAAGCAATGTTAGACCTGGTCATAGTAAGATACAACAATCTTCCAACCAACCTTTGGTAAACACCAGGATTTTTGTGAGCTTCATCTAAGTGATCATTATTGGTATTGAAGCAACTGTCAAACTCTGCGGATGTTAACTTCTGATTCAGCTCTAATGGTGTTCCAGCTGGCTTTGCACCAGTTAGACCTGACTCATATATTAACTCTAATGCATACTTCCTCAAACACATGAGAATTCTTTGTTTAGACCTTGCAAACTCAATGCCTAGGAAAAATTTCAGCTCTCCTAGATCCTTCATCTTGAACATTTTCTTGAGATCTTTTCTAGTGTCACACGGCAACTGTTGGTTGTTCCCAGTGATCAAGAGATCGTCTAGATACACCAGTATGATTTCTGTGTCATTCCCAACCTTTTTTGTGAACAAAGAATGATCATAATGGCTTTGCTGAAATCCTATATGAAGTAAAGCTTCAGTCAACTTTATATTCCATTATCCCGGGGCCTGTATAAGCCCATAAAGGGACTTGTGGAGTTTGCAGACCTTCTTGTGGGTCTCCCCCTGTCTAGCTAACCCCTCAGGTATATATACATATAGACCCCTTCAATGAGGTCTCCATTAAGGAAAGCATTATGCACATCCATCTGAAAGAGCAACCAGTGTTTAGAGGCAGCCACTGCAATGGTGGATTTGACAGTAACTATCTTAGCCACTGGAGAGAAGGTTTCAACATAATCCAAACCTTCCTTTTGACCGTATCCCTTAGAAACCAATCTAGTTTTGAACCTTTCTACCTCCCCAGATGATTAATACTTAATTCTGTAAACCCACCTACAACCAATAGGTGTTTTTCTAGGTGGAATATCTATAATGCTCCATGTATGATTGTCCTCCAGTGCTTCAATCCCCAACTGCATAGCTTTCACCCATCTAGTATCACTAGCAGCCTCTTTGAAAGTAGTTGGTTCTAAGAGAGCTGAGTAAGTTGTGAGTGCTTGTCTGAAAGTTGGAGAGATGTGAGAGTAGTCTACATAGGAGGAGATGGGATACGTACACTTTGAGCCTTTGGAGATGGTGACACAGTCTTGCAGCTACACATGTGGCTTGCTTGTTCTGGAGGATCTTCTGTATTCTTCAAGAGGCTCAGTAGGATGTAGTTGAATGACAAATGTTTCAGCATTAGCATGAGCCTGGTAGTCACTCACAGCAGAAATGATAGGTTCCGAAGCAACTGTGTTTGTAATGAAGGAAGGATTTTCTGCAGGTGACTTTGATGATAAATGATCTTCAATAGGCTCAGTTGAGTTTTCAACTGTAGGTGTTGAAGAGGAGATAGGAGTTGTAGCATTCATATCAGGGGATAAAAGATCCAAGACAGTGAAAACACGAGTTCCTAAAGCTTTAACATGCTCGAAAGGAAACACAATTTCATGGAACACAACATTTCTATTAAACATAAATGTTTTAGAGTGCAAGTTATAAAGTATATACCCCTTTTGAGTATAGGAGTAAACTAAGAGCACATCATGCACAACTCTAGGTGAAAACTTGTCCAAAACTGTTGAAATTTGAGAGATCTAGCCATTTCCAAAATAGTTAATTGTTTTTTCTGCCACCCCATTCTGCTGGGGTGTGTAAACACATGTACTTTGATGGAAAATACCAAGGCTAGATAAAAAATGCTTGAACTCAGTATTAAAACATTCACTTCCATTATCAGTCCTTAGAATTTTAATAATTGCGGAGAACACATTATTTGCTTGAGTAAGGAAATCTATTAAGACTACAATTGCTTCTGACTTAGAGTTTAAGAGAAAAATCCAAGTAAATCTGCTATAATCATCAACTATGGTGACAAAGTACCTTTTATCATCATGTGTAGGTACTCTATATGGTCCCCAAATATCACAATGAACTAATTCAAAAGCGGACTTTGTTGTAGTATTACTCAGCTGAAAGGGCATCTTGGTTTGTTTAGATTTAGGACATACTGATGAGAGTTACCTGTTGTCACCTTACTCAGTGCCTCTATCTTCTTTACTATGTCCATAGGAGCGTGTTCTAATCTCTTATGCCATAAACTGTAAATGATAGAAACAGACACACTAGAATTGGAAGAAGTACTGGAAGCAGATAAAGTAGAAATAGAAACATCATTTGCTGTATTGACACACTTATTGGTTGCCTGAGATGAGGTGAGCCAATCTTGGCTAGAGGAACAAGTGCAACTGATAAAATATCATGAGTTTCTTTGTGATGGTCTTTCAAATATGACAGAACAACTGAAAGAAGGAAGAACTGAGCTCAAGCAAGAAATAGACCAAATTTGGCTCAGATACCCATGACCTGCATGCTAAATTTTTAATAAAAAGGTTGAGGCGTCTGATGCCCTACAACTAATTTTGTGGATACTGGCAAGCTTATGGAGCAAAAAGAGGAATCCCAACTATTCGACCAAAATATTAATGATGCCAAGGTTGACGAAGTGCGCAAATGTGAGGAAGTCAAAAGTGAAGCGATTCTAGAGTTGGAGCGCATTGGGCCTCATTCTAACCATTTCTCAACATTATGTTTGGTTGGTGACGTGAGAATT